GACGGATCCTGGACATGGGCTTCAAATGTCGTATTCCTCTTGTCAAGCCGCTCCTGAACAAACCTTTTGAGTATCCTTACTGACATAAATGAACATTTGCACGATATTCTAATTTTTCAAGTTTCACCTGTAGTACAGTAAAATGATGAGTTCCACAGAACCCAAACACACAGAAATTATGCCTGCTGAAGAGCCTAAAAGAATGGGCAGGATGTCACTTTCCTGTTTTCTGCCAAAGACAGGATCCCCCCGCAACTTTGCATCCAAATTAAAGAAGATAGATCACCATTTTCAGCAACAAACAATGATATTTCTTTCCCCATTTTTTTTTGAGAATGCCAAAAAAGGGAGAGAATGTACTTGGATATAAACTGTAGTATTATAGGAGCTACTGTAAAATATTATTAATACGTGTATAGACACAACTGAATTGTGAAAAGCGTGGGAACATAAAAAAGAATTAGCTACTGCTGGTATATAGAATTCAACATTTTCATTATTGGAGGAAAGCAATATAAGCTCTTCAAGAACTTTCCAATTCACCTGAGCATTTGACAAAGAAACTGTATTACTAAAATCCTAACTTTTCCTGGATATAATCTTCAAGTTAACTGAACAGAATGTAAAAAAAAAAATCTCAATAATCTTGAAATTTTAAACCATAAAAAAGCACCACAAATAAACACTATTTCAGTGTATATAACTGTGTATCCAAGCCACACTGCTAATTGCACATATCATCATCTCAAGATGATTTTTTTTTAAAAAAAGTAGATACAAATACTGATTCAAATCCAGTATTTTCAAATCTCTGACCTTTATCATATATAGAGCATAGATTGTGTTTAGCTTTCTGAATGAAACAGGGTTAGTCCTGAGTACATATGGTATAAGATTACCCTTTTTAAAAAAAAACAGTCACCCTGGAATAGCCAATCTGATCAGTGGAGATTCTATTAATACCAGCTATGAACATTCTTTAGAAGAGATGGTTTTCAAGCACATGATGCCATAATAAACATCTCTCTTTGCATCTTTAAAACAGCCACATCTTTTTTCATGCTCATGATGTAGCTCTGAAAGCACATGCACGTGCATAACTGTCCTTGCTTCCTCCTTCAATTGCCATGCAGCCACTACTAAAACAGTCTCCCATCTTTTTCATGTAATGTCAATTTTCACCCTTCCTTTCCCCTATTGTATGCCTGCCAATTTAGTATTATGCTTCAAATTTCTGATGAAATAGTCTCCAGTCCATTATGCCAAAATAAGCATATTAATATTTAATGTGCCACAAGAAGCAGCTGCACAGGCCCAGAAAAAGATCTGGCTGATTTAATGATTCAAAGAAAAGTACTTCTTACACACTCCCACACATTGCAATGCACTTCTTTGAAAGGATTTTCACAGCCCAGCTCTGTATTCATATCACTAGGAGTGCTATGCAAAGCTTTGAAGGAAAGTTTCACTTTGGTCAAAGCATGCTTTCCTCAGCAAAGGAAAATGGAACCATTTCTAAGGCGTGGAAAGGTCCCTTTGCTCAAGCGTGCTCAGAACCCACTTTTTTTTAGAAGCAAGGCAGAAAGACAAGGGAATCCAACCAATACCATTTAAAGCTCTTATATTAAACACAACAGGTTCTCTTTAAAATAATTTTTAAAATCTCTGGAAAGTTGAGTTGTAATTTCAGTTTGATAAATCTTACTGGGGCTCTCTGTGATATACAATTCCTTTTAAACTTAGTTCAGGAAATCATCAAGAAATGGCATGAAAAACTCCATAGGTGGCATTACACTTCACTAAAATTACATTATATAAATGGTACATTTCCTAGACTGCACTGGTGGGGATTGCAAGCAAATTGGTACATATTAGCATTTTTGGATGGTAATGCCAACTATTCACCTCTTCAGGTCAAAAGTTTTTGAATCAGGAATGTGAGCCAGTAATCTTTTATAATGAATCCTGTTGTTAGGTTATTATCTATATTTCCTAGCATGTCCATTTTTGCAACATTAAAAAAAATGATTTAATGCCTATTGTTTATTAGCAAGTTATCACAAAACACTGGAAAACTAAGTTCATTCCATTGAACCAATGGTATTTAAAAGTGTTAGAAACTGCTTTAATAAAATAATACATCAATTTTGAAAAACCATACAACGAAAGTTTCATTTATTCAAATTTACTCACCATTTATGAGTTATACTAATATATTTTCTAATAAATTACCTTTGTATACTTTTTACAGATATGAAAAATGTTTGCATTTCTTCTTAAAATCATTTCTATATAATTGTTTTAATGTCTGTTTTACTTTTTTTTTACTTTTTTAAAAAGTTTTTGTCTTGCTGTTTTGCTTACTTAATAAAAAACAAAGAAGAAACAATATAGTGTTCATAAAGTTCCAAAAAGTTGCAAAACATTATTTTCTAAAATCTATGGGACATGTTCGATTGGGCCAAAGTTCAAATCATGGGAGAAAGCAAAATTATTGTATTAAATTTTCATTTATACAGAATGAAATGAACAGGTCTGAACCTATTCAACTCTACACCTGGACTTTTATGAATTTCATAGCTGACCTATCTCTCCAGAACTCTGGTAGGCAACAAAGGGTAGCATCTAAGCCCTCACCAGAAAAGAGGGGAAAATGTTACATGTGTAAAACTGCAGATTGGGGTGAAGAGAAAGCAGAAACATTTATTTTTTTATAGGTCTGCTCTTCTATTAAACATTGATTGCTCTAACTGTAGCATCTCTAGAATGGGAAAAGAACTTAGTATTTAAAAGCTTTAATTTTATCACTTGTTCATTACATTGTTACCCTAAGCAGCTATATGACAATGTTTATGAACAGCATGGCACAATGACTGACTTATTTGATTTTGGAGGGCTGTTAATCCCTTATACTTCTATGATGCCTAAATCCTTGAAAATTAGTTTCACCATATTCAAGAATGGGCACCATAATTCTTTATCTACATCCCTTCCTTTTTTCTGCAGAGAACCATCTCAACCTATCTGTCTAAATGTTGGCAGTGATATTTGTCACCATTAGGACTATAGCTGCTATAATTTTCATTACATTAAGTCCCAAAGAAATAAATTAACCTTAAAAAATACAGATTTTAAGGAGTACTATACAAATAACTTTCCTGCTTTCTGTGAAAGCTCATATGCTTCAATCCTAGCTGTGTGGAAACCTCACTTTTTACAGTACGCCAAGGGGATAGCCTTGAGGGACCGGAGGAAGAGCAGAAGTAGACCAGAATGGGAAACCAAAGTCATGCATGCCAATATTACTTTTATTATAAATATATTATAACAGAATCTAGCAAGTCTGAATGAGCTCCTCCCCTCCCTCCCTTTATCTTTGTGAGAACGAGGGAGGGTCTTGTCTGTGATGTTTTCTCCAGATACAGTTCTGCCCTGGACTCAGGTTTCTTTTATCTGACCACTGTCTTCCTAGAGGCTCTTCCTCCTGGGGCTCAAGGCTATTCCTTCAGCCCACTACACTGTTCCAGAGCTGACCCATGTCCAGAAGACTGCAAATTACTTCCTGCTCTGGAAGATTTCCAAAACCTACCAAATTACTTCCAAAATAACTAGACTATAACAATCTGAAAGAAACATGGAACATTCCAGAGTGTTCCAACCTTGGAGAGTCAGTTTGACATATTCTTATTCATTACCTCATAAGTTAAATTTATCAGAAAATTTCATCACAGTTGCCAAGAAACAAACAAAAAAAACCCATTAATTGTAAGCCACCATAAGTCTGATTGAGTTTGACAGCACACAAATTTAATAATAACAGCAATGATAATGGTAGACTAGGGAGAAAGGAGCATTATTTTTCCAAATCTCTCCTGAAACAGATATCAAGTCAAACTTAATTACCTTCAAAACACCTGAAAGGTGTCAGGCTTTTTCTAAAGGTCCAGGTCAGTCTTGAATTAAATTAATCTAAACATTATTACTTTCTATCTGGCAATAATAAAATCCATCAATGAATGTTCATTCATTGATGACATATTGGAAAGTTGGCAGATACTATATAGCACAAAATATTATGAACAGCCACTTTAATTTTGTATACTTATACTAGCAAGACATAGTAAAAATGGTCCATAATTAACAGCATCCACAATATATGTAAAATAATACAGTTATGCCATTATTGCTATAATATTGCCAAAAAGTATTATCCTTTTTTAAAAAAAAAATTACCTCCAATCCAACTTTTCAACCAGAAAGGCACAGATAAGAAAACCAGTACGATTGAAACCATGCGTACAGTGAACACCTAGAAAGCAAAATTGAAGAAAAGATATAATTGCAATTACCAAGACCATTTAAAAGCATCAGGAATGTTCACCTCCCTTACAAGGGAATGAGTCATCAGTTATCATGTTACAAATCACTCTTTTCCCATACCATCTAGTTCTTCCTTCCCTGCAGGAGGAAATCAGAGCGTGAACAGGTCTGACTACATAAGTGGTTCCCCAATGAAGCAGACACCTCAGTTCTTTGCTTTCCACAGTCAGAACTAGGGATTAAGAGCAACCTATCAATATGGAAGGCATTTCTCCAAACATTTTTCAAGCATCACCCTCCAGCTCTAAAGTGTCAGCAAGTATCACACAATTTCAATTGCTTCCAGCACATGGGGAAAAAAATATACTGAATGGTCCTGGATATAGTTTAAGAATATTTCTATCAGAATTGAAAAATATTTTTTCTTCCTTTTATTTTGCATATACATGTTTTGGTGGGAGAGCCAAGACAATAGTCTACTTCTTCAGTACAAAACAATATACCTGCTCAGTTGTCATATTCCTTTGAATGACTGCACACTTCTCTGAACAAATTCCTGACAAAGCCACATAGCTAATAATCCATTCATACCAAAAGCCTGCATAAAAATAACTTAGTATCAATGGCTTTAACTATCCATTGGAATAAATTTAGGATTGAAACCAGGAAAGGAAAAAAATGAACTTATTTACTTGCAATTAAATACATACAAAGATATTTCATTTAGCATCATCACATGAGTGGACAACCTCTCCAGTTTCTGTTAAACTAAGGTAGTAGGTACCCTATACTTTCTGGTTCTCATCCACCACCACCACCCCTTCTTTCTCATTAGCACCTGGAGAAGATTCTTTCCTGGCACAGTAGCTTCTTCTTGGGTAGACTGCCTTTATCTTTTTAGAAGTGAGTGTTCCACCACCCAGCTTAAACAGGAAATCCCCTTTACCATTTATAGTTTACAGTCAGATTTTATGACCAAACCTGATTGCTAGGCCTTCCTGATGCATGCCACTTAAGAGACTAGCCTTCAACAAGCTGTTTAGCCCAATTTACAACAAGGGGAAAAATGCTACTGTCACAATGTAAGGCAAAAGAAATAATTTCTTCATTCAACACTTAACTTACAATACTCACGATAGGTGAAATCTGCTGCCTATATAGCACCAAAAGAGCATCAGACAGATTATGGGAGGAAAGTATATTCAGCAGCTATTCCAGGTTCAAAGCAGCAGATGCTTGCATCTCAACATCAGTTGCTGAAATGAGGGCTATTGCTTCACGTAAGTCTTATGGGATTGCCAGAATCACCTAACCAGCTACTGTTGAGGACCACATTTCTGGAATAGATGGGCCTCAGAACTCTCCTACTCTCACAGGATTTTTCAGTCATAGCTTGCATTTCAATATAGCTTAAAACTGATTGCACATCAGCAATCAGTAACTGTTGTAAGAAAATTCTAAAGACTGCATTCAATTAAAACAATGCACCAGTAGTGCTAAAAAAAAAATCCAAAACACACACCTGCCTTATTTCTGTGGTAATATCGCCATCTAGTGGCCAGGAAAAAACCTCCTGCTCACGTGTGTTAGTTAAAATTCAAATAAGGCTGTCAGACAGTGATGTGTTCGATGGGCGGCATACAAATTTGAAAAATGAATGAATGAATGAATGAATGAATGAATGAATGAATGAATGAATGAATGAATGAATGAATAAATATCTGTTGCAATTATTCTGGACAGCAACTCATTAGAGTAAATAAGTTTGTTTAGGAGCACTGTCTTTCATGGTTTTTATGTTTCAATATTGGAGTAATTAAGACTTTACCTACAGTTGGTCTTTCTAAACTTACTGCCTTTACTTTGTTCAGTGTCATATAGACTGACTTAAATATGACTTAAACTCTTATGAAACCTTTAATGTCAATACGTTAATCCAATTCATTGAGTTTTTCTCATTTTTACAAAGAGAGTCATTTTATTCTATGAAAGTAAGTGAAAGACCACTATTCAGGAAACACACTTCAAGAGAAGCAAACCAAAGCTTATATGGCTCCAGCAAAGTCAAGTGCATATAGCAAAAGAAGTAAGGCAAGATGGTATTACAGTTATTATGCAGTCCTCCATCAATTTTTTTTAGCTATGTGGAGAAGTGTAACAGTTTTCTCTTTAGCAATCTACTAGATAATTAATAAGTTTAAAAAACTTAACATCCAAGAAGCACAGGAATATAACTTGATACTGATCATTTTATGCTGGATAAAAGCACAGTATGTTCCCTATGCTAACAGATCAATTTCTCCTACTAAATATCATGTAGCTGAAAATTCTCACATATCAAAAAACAGGTATTAAAACAGGTATTAAAGCGCAAATTCACAGAATGCAATTGTCGACTTATGTGGTCAGAACTTCCATCAATGATGTTATTTATCCACTACTGTTGTTGAAAGATAAAATTACAAAACTACATCCATTCTTTTCGATACCCAGGTATTTTCTTTAATATAAAGACCCTGGGGACAGATCTATAAAATTGTGTGAATATATCTGTCAGTGTCCTTCCAAATTCCAAAACGCTAACATAGGTTCAAAAGTCCGTAAATCTGGATTCAGGCTTCTTGCCTTGTATCAATTTGGAATCTCCCAAAATCTGTTTGAAGTAGCTCAGTTCAATTTAGCATGGAATTGATTATGTGCCATCAAGTTGGTGTTGACTCTTAGCAATCACATATAGACCTTCTCAGGATGATCTGTTCCCAACCTGGCCCTTCAGATCTTCCAACATGCATCCAGTGCCACTATAATTGAATCCATCTACTTTGCTGTTGGTTATCATCTTCTCTTTCTTTTCTTCCCCCTCTCACAGCATTACAGACTTCTCAAGAGAGTTAGGCCTTCACATAATGCGTCCAAAATCTGGTAATTTGAGCCTGGTGATTTGTGCTTCAAATGAGAGCATTGGACTGATTTGTTCTATTATCCGCTTGTTTTCCCTTTGTTTTCTGGACTATCCATGGTATTTTCAAGAGTCTTCTCTAACAACAAAGTTGAGAAGCATATCTCTGCATCTGGTTTCTTCAAAGTCCAACTTTTGCTCCCACAGGGAGAACCGTTGTCTGCATGATTCCAATCTTTGTTGGTACAGACAGTATCCATATATCTTTTCCAAGGCTTTCACTGCTACCCCACTAAAAGCTAGTCCGCAGCGTACTTCTTGACTGCTTGTTCCTTTATTGTTGATAGTCAATCCTAAAAGAAAGAAACTATCCATCACTTCAATATCTTCTATTCTAACACTGGCTGCTGGGCTTGTCATTAATTTGATCTTATTTATATTTAATCATAGTCTCATTTTTCCTCTGTGCTCCTTGACTTTGATTACTAGAGCTTGAATCATTCACAGGTTATTGATGCTTCTTTGTCCAGTTTCACTGGTATTCAATAGTTATTTTAATATGATACATATGCTTACTATAAAGCAACATACACAGAAGACTAAGTAAAGAATTCAATTTCTCTGGTAAAATAAAAAAAGTGAAGCCCTTTAATAATTTAGGTTAAAAAGAAAATAGTTTATTTATAACTAAATGTAGGCATCATTTGGAATTTGACAAATATATTTAACAATCCAAAAGAAGAAAATTGAAGGGGAAGCTCTCAGGAGCAAATTTCATTATCTTGTTGCTTTCACACACACACACAAAAAATCCTTTATTTCTACTTGTATTTCTGCTAGTAGTAGGGACTAATAAAAACTGTATAATGAAAGTAAAAATGAATAGTCTTGTATTTGTATATATTTATTTTGAATCTTATTTATTTATATACAAGCAAATACCAAATGCTACATATTTCAATTGTTCATATGTATGAAAAACACGATTTTCTTAAAATTTTTAACATTGCTGGTCAAGATCTTCACAATCAAGTTTAGAATGTAGATTAGAATGTACTAATTTTCCAATATTAAGATTAAACTTCTTTTGGAAGTGAATTATTAAGAATTTAAAAGGCAATTGATACAATCATTTTGGCCTCTCTTCAAGAAAGCTAGGCACAGGTATTTAACCATGCAAAGAAGTTGTGTGGTACGTAAGTAAAATGACATGTAGGTAGTCCTTGTTTAACGACACTAACTGGGATTGGAAACTCCGTTGTTAAGCAATGTGGTCATAAGTCAAAAAACCACATGACCACACCGCTTAGTGATGGCAGTTCTAGCCGTCCCATTTGCTGTCATTGAATGAGGACTGTGCAGATCATTAAGTAAGGAACTCACGTGACCATGACTTCCAACTTCCTGCCAGCTTCCCACTGGCTTTGCTTGTGGGAAGCTGGCAGGGAAGGTCATAAATTGCAATCACATGACCATGGGAACGCTGCACTAGCCATAAGTATGAGGTCTGATTGTAACTACCACTCATTCAGCACTATTGTAAGTTCAAATGGTCACTGAACAACTGGTTGTTAAATGAGGACTACCTGTATATAACATGTTCTGCAATTACAAAGTACATTTAGAAACTGTCACAAAGAAAGCACTGTAGGGTATTATGCATGACATAACAACTCGCACAGTGCTGTACCGGAGACACAATGCTGCTCAGTCTCTTAAATATAAGGAGATAAGGCTTATGGCTCATGTCTCCCTTATGCACTTTCCTCTTTTGGAACTAATCAAGTTACACTGTTACATCTACAGGAGTCCCACTTACTCTGATTAATAATTTGAACAACTTTTGCAGTTTAGGTTGTATCCACACCTACACACTAATATTTGACACTAATCAAAATCAGTAAGCTATCAATCAGCATTTGGCACTGCACTATAATAAATGCCATAAGTTAAAGATGGGAATTAATGTCAAAAAAAGTGTGCAACCCAGTAAGGCATTACTATAGTAACATTTATTCAGACCCTTACACTTCTCTGTTAACTTTTGTTCTTGTACAAGTCCAGTACAATCAAGTGGTGAAAAAAGACCTGCAATAAATTTCAAAGTTGAGGTAGACAGATGAAGAAACTGATTCTACAGGACAACTAGAACTACACTGTATTGAGATAGGTTATAGTAACAGAATCTAGCAAGTTTGCTTGTGTTATTCCTTCCCTTCTTTATTTCAGAGTCAGGGTGGAGCCAGTCTGTCTCTTTCTAATACTTCCCCCCATCCCCATCCCCCACTCATTCAGGCTTCATGCATGCTTCTTCTATACCTGTTGTCCTAATGGCCTCTGGATACCTTTTCCAAGATCATCTCAATGATTCCCTACAATAGGTCAACGCTTAATTTTCTGATTAAAATATTTGGATTTCAACTTTGACTATTCATCTTGATGCTTCACTATTCAGCAAGATAGACATTGGTGCTAGCAATATACTGTACAGTTTATCTAGGTTAATGAAAAACTAAATACAGTCCATAACATTCATTCAGGCTTGCCCTTTGTACAAATATTATCAGGAATATTTATTTCCAACATTCCAGTATTTCATCCTATTTTGTTTCTTAGTTCTATTGCTTGCTGTCATGATTCAATGCAGGCTGGAGTATTACATCATGAAACGTTTGTGTACAATGGAAAATAGCAAATGGACCATAAGTATGTTACATGGAAAAACAAACAAGCCAGACAGAAAATAGTCACACAACAGGTTAAATATACATACCTATAAGCTCTGTTGGGTTCTTATTACGAAAATGTTCACATATACGAATGAATGTTTCTGTGTTCTCAGGTGTGGGACACTCTCCATGTCTACCAAGAAGAGAAGAGTCAAGTTATAGCAAGGCTTTTCCTACATAAAACAATATTCATGAGTCGCATTAGCTTACCCTTTACATTGAAGCTTTACATAAGTGATGCCATCCTTTTCTATATCACTCCTGTCATAGAACCTAGTGGTATTGGTCAAGTCTATTAGCAGACCCATCTTAACCTGAAAGTAATAAAATTAGAGTTTGATATATGAAGTTACACATATAATGAATATCACTTTATGTATTTTATGATAACCATACATAACTCTAATGGTTAATATTCAGAAGTAGCTTTTTTGATGTTACAGATACACTATGGAAATAACATGGCTATGTATATCACAACTTACATTATTGCAAGCCTCATATATACAGAATTTACAAGAGAGAGAATGGAGTCCAATGCTTCTCTCCCATTGCCAAAACTGCCTTTGTCAGGAGAAAGTGTGGCTCCCCTTCCTGCTGCCTGTATACTCCCCACCTGATTTAGTGTTAGGGGAATCCTCTGAAACCAATTTGGGGAGGAAGGCACAGAGGGAAGTAGGAGGAGGGAAAAATCACCTTCTCCCAATTCTCCTAGATACAGTTCTGTTCATGGAAAATAAGCTTTGTACTGTATTCCACCCATATTAAATCTATTGGAAAGACAATATGGAAATAAAGGTTAGTTATATCTATGCTGCTTCTCTCCGCTGATTCACCCTCTGCTATGACCTCCAATAACCAATAATCTTCTTAACTAGATATTTCTAAAGTTAGCATTCTCAGAGAAAAAAAAACTGTTGGTAAAATAGTAAAAAAAAAAAACAACTTTACTACTTAGATAGTAAAGAAAAATTCAGTTATATCCTTTACCTTGAGACTCTTTAAATAGTTGGATAACATACAGGGATGGAAACGATACTCTTCAGCAACTTGATCATCATATTTTGGTCCTAGCATTGTCTTCAGAGGTAAAAATATTCCTGTTTGGCAGCAATTTAAACAAAAAAAATGCATGTAATGAACATGAAGCCTTAAAAAATGTCTGTTTGCTTGAATCATGATAAAAATTTTCATTAGGACAAAGAATTATAGCAGTTTATGACATAATTCAATGTTATCTATAACTGTAAACTACCCAAAATAAAATACTGTAGTGCAATGTCCAGTATCATACCACTGAAAAGCATTATTAAATAATTTCCCATCCATTGTGAATGCTCTGAAAGCACCCACACAGCTGGAGCAACTGTGTTGATCTAATTAAACCCTTTATTAGCCATATCCAATTAATGCCTAAACCCATATCCGTTTAAAATAAATAACAAATTATATGAGGGTGAATAGTCCAAAATTGAATCAGATAACATGGAGCTGTTCAGGGACAAAAATTATGCAAACTAGACTATACTCTCCTGAAGTAAAAGAATACAAGAAAACTATCGGATCTGGCCTAGCTACTGAATTGTCACATGATAGCTGTGAAAAATAAAGTGTTTCATCAGGTTTAATTAATGGACTAGATGTGAACAAGAAAGGATAACTTCTCAACTTGGTTACCATACAGCGTTCAACATCTGACTGTCTCTGAAAAGAAATTTAGCTTTAGTTAGTCCAGAATATGGTTGTCCACACCCGAGCCACATCATTACAATAACTTTGCAAGTGTTCTACTGGCTGCAGTTTACTCTGACTGCATACATTTTCTAAACATTTGTTTTTAACCAATAGCTTTTGGGGTTTTATGTATTACTGCATTATTATCAAAGTTATTTCAGTATTCACTATATATGAGTCTCCAGAAACTATAAAATTAAATGCATCCATACAATGAAAAATATTATGCAATCCATGTATTTATGTATTCAATTTATAAGCTACCTAATCAGAACTCAGGGCAACATATAAGAAATTAAAAATACATTATAAAAACTAACTATAAGGAAACAGATAAAACCAAAACACTGCAAAAGTAGATATAGAAAGAAACATACAGAAAAAACCATACAAAAATATACACAAAATAAAAATATTATAATGCTAATGCAGTCTTATGAATGGCCCTGGCCTAGGGCCTGCTAGAAAAGCCAAGTTTTTAAGGCTTTCCTAAAAGGCAGCAAGATCAGGGAGATCATGCACTCCTCAGGGAGACCAGTGGCTGAGAATGCCTGAAATCTCATAAGATGGCATTGCTTTGTCGATAGGACCTGGAACATGTCAACCTGCCAGATCTTATAGGATAGGCAGAAATAATTGGAAACAAGTGTTCCTATAAATGTCCAGTCCATAAGCCAGGAAAGGCTTTAAAGATGACAACCAACACATTGAATTGCAACTGGAAGCCAACTGGTAACTAGTGGAGCTCACAAAGGAGAGGTGTCACATGGGTGAACCAAGATGCTACCACATACTGGATCAGCTGTTGCTTCCAAGTGGCCTTCAAGGCTATTCCTACGTAAAGTCCATTGCACTAATTCAAAGAAGAGGTGAACAAACATAAGTGACTATGATAAGAGTCTTCTACTCTAGAAAAGGGTGCAATAGATGCACAAGCAGATCTATGCAAAGGCCACTTTGCTCTTTGATCAAGAACTGAGAATCTATAAGGACCTCAAATTGTGTACTGGTTTTGTCTGGGGAAATGCAGCCCTATCTAGAGCTAGAGAGCCACCAGAAATAAAGAATTCTTGAACTCACAGCCACTTGGTCTTTCTATAATTCCATCTAAGCTTATTTTTTCCCATCTAGACTCTAACAGCCTGCAGGCACTAAGACAGAACCTCGACAGCATCACTTGGTCAGTCTGAAATTGTGATATACAACTGAGTATCATATATGCATTGTTGATACCTCTGGATGACCTCACCCACCAGCCTCACATAGATGTTAACATGAGTGAGAAGAAAGCTGAGACCTGAAGAACCACACAAAGCAAGGGCTTCAGCTTCAATCTCTCTCCACCAACATCAACTGAAACTGATTCTAGAGAAAGGAAGAAAACCACTTCCACTCCCTACCCTCAGAAATGTCTCCACTCCCTACCCTCAGAGCCATTTCAGAAAGATACCATAAATAATGGTATTGAAAGCAACTGAGAGATCAAGAATGACCAGGAGAGTGGCATCATTGCTATCCCAGTCCCACCAGAGGTAACACCATCAGTGCTGTTTCAGCACTGTTAAACTTGCTACAGCCAAGTTTAAACCCTAACTGAAAAGGGTCTAGATAATGTGGTTCCTCCAAGGCCCTTTAGAGCTGCTGCCCTACCACTTCTCCACAAACTTACCCAAAAAGAAAAGGTTAGAGACTGATTAGAAATTATCCAATACTTTTGGATTCAGTGATAGTTTCTTGAGGAGGGGATGCACCATTGCCTTCTTCAAGGCAGGAGGTACTATCATCTCACTCAAGAATGCATTGGGCCCAACCACATGTCACCTCCTAAGTGGCCTTAACCAGTCAGGAAGACATGGATCTGTCACAATGATTGCTGCATTAACAGCCCTTAGAATCCTGTCCGCTTCCTTAAAATTCACAGGCTCAAAATTTTCTCAGATAACAAAGATCCTGTCTCAGCCAATGCAGTAGAACCAGCCCAGCCAGAGTCCAACTCAAGGCAAATCTAAATGATTTTATCTATCAGATGTCTAGAATATGTCCTCACTGCAGCCCTTAAGAGGTTCTTCTGATCCCTCCCTCCCTAGGAGGGTCTGAGTCATTCTAAACAAGGCCTCTAGTCAGCAACCCACAGATATGGTAACAGCAATCAATAAAGTGAACATCAGTGATTAAATTTAGCAAGCAAGAGGTGCCTTGGCTGAAACAATTTCCCCTGAATTTATTTTAGACAAAGTGTGGCCTGTGGATATTTGCCTTTTCAATTGCCAAGGAACTGGGCTACGGCATAGCTTTAGTTTTCCTTATGTAACTCAAGCTCTATTGGGCTATTTCATGGTCACATTTTACTTTAAAGGATTAAATTAACTAGCACAATTAAGTGTCCCAAATAATTTCTCCAATTCCCCCCTCCCTTTTCTAAATCAGGCAAGAAGCTGTCCCTGCTGTTTGTGCAGCATGGCTCAATTTTCTGATTTGGGACCATAATTAATCTAGGTGTTTAATTGGGTAGGTACACTTGATCCAAAGCTGGTAATCCACTGGTTTGCTCCTATCAAGCTGCTTGGGGGTTATTTATGTTTATGTTACTTGTAGTGGGTTCAGTGAATTAATACTTGAATGTATTCACACATTACAGAAAGGGCTCTTTTCTCTCCTTCCTTCAGAGCAAGAAAGTTAAGAGAAATATCTGCACTTTCCCTTCCTTTCACAAAAATACTACCCAAACGGCTAAAGAGGAAACTCCTCTCTGCCCCCTCCTCTAAAATCAGGCTCAGCACCTCATCACCAGTTGATCGTGGCACAGAACAATGATTTACCCATACGAATAAGCCTACTGGTCCAACAGACAGAAGACCCCCATACGACATGTGGCAGCTGCTCAGTCCTCCACAGGCGAAAGAGATGCTCGAGCAGCACAGACCTTGACAAGACGGCGGGGTCCCCGGAGGAGGCCACGCTCAACGCGACAGGCTCTCTTATCAAAGCCTGGCACGCCGTCAAGCGTCCCACCACAGCTTACCTGCCACGGGCTGTCCGCGCCTCGGGCAGTTCAGCCACCGCGGTGGGATCTTGTTGAAGGACATAGCAGGGCCGAATGCAATGGCCGCAGCCGGTACTACCGGAAGCACTCGCCGTCAGAGGCGACGGGACTCGCGGGTCCCCACCAACGGTCGCTTCAGCCACTTCGTCGTCCCGCAGTTAACGCCGCCAAACCACAATGCCCCGCGGCTGACCGTAACCGGTTCCGCTTCCGGGATCCTTTGCGCCACCACCGCTCTGCGAACTCAAGAAGGGCGGAGCGGTTAGTCTCTATGGCAGTATGACTCTCCACGGGAAGGGTCATGCTTTTTCCTATAGAGACAGAAAGATGAAGAGTGCATGCGTTTTAATTTCTGGCTTGGCTTAGGAATTTCCATTGTGGTAATCACACACTTAAACGCATTGTACATCAGTATTTTTCAAACTCGGCAACTTTAAGTTTAAGCCAGCCAGCATGGGGAATTCTGGGAGTTGAAGTCCACACATCTTAAAATTGCCGAGTTTGAAAAACACAGCTGTAAATGTGGCACAGATTCTTGCATAGGAATCTGCACTCGGTTTTTTCTCATTTTAAATTATATATATATTTAAATATATATATATCTCCTGTAAAAACCTCCAAAACAAATCCTGACCCTGATTTATAAATTCCATCATAACTTTCAGACAGGAATAAAGCCATGTCAAATGAAACCTTGGCAGGGCCAGATAATTGAGGAAGGAGATGAAAGTGACTTCAGATTTACTTTTTCTGCACCATGATGATTTCATGATAATCAGACTTACTCTAACGTGAGTGTACAGTATTCAGGTGTTTCATACTATAAAGTATTCATACCATAAACACTGAAATCAATTTAGTACAACTAAATTTTATTAAAGAGATTATTGTTCATAATGCCCATGCTGTACTCACATGGCCTACCATATCTGAACTGCAAAAATGGCAGGAAGAGACACAGAAAACTTAAATCTTTGAGGACATATGGGTTTGTACAGCCAGTTACAGCAGCCCTACTCAAATGCCATCTCTCAGGCAGCAGACAGGTAAAAGCTTTGATGGCATTGGTAGCCTCAAGAGTCTTTCCTGGGGATAATCAGCTTAGCTCTCTCTGAATCTCGTCCAGCTGTTGCTTCTAGCAAGGCAGCAAGCCATTCCCCTGTACATTTGTCCTCTTTTTAGGCAGCCATTTTGTCCATTCTGTTTTCCAGTTTTCCAGCTGATCCTATTTCTCCATACTGTACCTTTGTTGGCAATGCTATGACTTCATTTTTGCCCATTCTTCTGCCTTCAGTAAAGTTTCCTATTCATCCTCTAAAAGGCTTACATTACAATTCAGTTGTATTAAAATAATCAGCATACATATTTCCAATAAACATAAATGAAATGCTTACAAACACCACAAATTGGTACAGGCAAAAGAAGGGGAAGTTAGAAACTAAACAGCTTTTTAAACTTTTGTTTGTTTTTGTTTTCTTTTTTCTAACATGCATAAACAACAATAAGCAACAGTACAGTGGAAACCTTAGTATTGAGTATTAAGCTTAAAATAGAATTCTTTATTATAAAGCAATTTAAGGTATTTTGCAGTTGTTTATCAATGCCACACTCAGCTTTAGATGCAAAATTTAAGCAACCT